ACCCCGCCCCCACCCCATTCTCGTCCCGTGCGCCGCATCGACTTCACTTCGTTTCGCTCCGCTCCCGACTCCGCTCCGTCGCCGCAGCTCTGCCTTCGCCTGATGGAGGACGTGCCTAGCAGGCTGATGGACGCTGCTCCGCCCCGCTCCGCCCCGCTCCGCCCCGCTAAGCCCCGCTCCGCCCCGCCTAGCCTCCATTCCCCGCCGCCGCGCGCCGAGCTCCGCTGTGCTCGGTCGCGGCCGTTAATGCTAGCCTTGCTGCACGGGACGCACTACAACTTTCTAGTGGTGGCGGCAGCGCACCGCACGGAGTCGGCTTCGTTAAAATAGTTGCGGCCGCGGCCTATAAACGCCCACGACATATTCATTTGGAATATATCACCCACGTGACATCATGGTCGGCCCAGCGTTCACACACTCCAGATTTAGTGTCGACGGATTTTCGACACAAGCCACATAGCTAGGTCGAATTCAGTCATTGCCTGGCAGAAAATTCTAGCGACCGAGTGCCTGATTGGTAGTTATGCGTGGATTCTCTAACGATTATTAAGTGAATGCCGGAGCAATGCGCTAAAAACAAACAGGTCAGGATTGACGCGTGATCTTTCCAGTCCCCTTCTCGCCCTTACACACGAACACACGCTGACTTGTTGGGTGACAAGTCAGGATCTTAAGATATGTCCCCGGAGGGGCGGTGTCCCTGTAGGAGTAATATCTGGAGAGGGAAACTCCGCATACCGCCGGATCAAACGTTTCAGCGGGGGAGCAGCATCACTATCTCCATGCTGTAAAATGCGCTTCACTCGTGGGACAAATGACCAAAGTGGCTGACACCCAGAAATACGAAATGCTCGGCCACTCCAGATTGGGATACCCTAGCGATCGTGTCCCGCTTGAACGTAGAGAGCCATGTTTAAATCCACATCACACAATGCAGTCCGATGAGTCTTTCGTGACTTGACGGCTTATAGGCTGCACTACTGGGCAACGTTCTATCCTCCTTGTCCCCTGTTTCTAGTACGAGGTACGTATTTAGGAGCCGGACTCGATTAATCGAAATGAACTCGCGCATGGAATGGGAGCCGGCGTCGACGAGCAGGCGCAGGGCGTCGGGCCTTGGCAGGCGGTCAGTGGCCATTGCCGCATACCCCAATTACCTCAATCATTACCCTATCAATAGGATTTCTTGTGTGAATTGTGTCAGACGTGAGCCGGAAGTATTTTCACGCGTTCTGCACTACGGGACGAATTGCCGTTCTACTGGCTGTGCCGTCGAGAATCGACGGAGCGCGGGTTTACAACCTCCCGCTGATCTCCCCAACCCTCCTCCAACGGCGAGGAGGACAAATGCCATATTGGGTGTTGCAGCGTCCGCTATCGGATTAGTATTCGCGCTCCTGCACAAGCGAAACGCAAGGTCGCTAAAGCAATTACTGCGAATAGGAGCGGCGGCGGGGCCGGCGGTGGCGGCGAAGGCGGGGCGGCGGCGGGGGCGGCGAGGACGATGCAGGCGGCGAGGGGGGCGACGAGGGCGACAGCGGCGTCGACGGTGAGGGCGGCGGGCGGCAAGGGTGGGCGGTGGGATTGCGAGGTTGCGAGGTGGCGAGGGCGGCGAGCGCATAGGGAGCAGTGAGAGTCGCGAGAATTTGTTGAAAGTCAGGGAAAGTAAAGGCAGAAGGAAATAAATGTGTTGAGTAATAAAGATGAGGGAAATATGGCACTCGATATAAAGAAAATGGGAGAAGTGAGAATAATAACAGGAATATGGGGATGAATGTTGAATCCTGTATAATTGATATACGTAATTGATAACTCGTAATGATGTATAATTGATAGACGTAAAGTAATGAAGGACTACATATACCATTCAAATGACAAACTACAATGGCGCTGAACTGGTTTATAGAGAAGAAGAAAACATCATTGAGGAAAATGAAAACATACATTTCAAATGCAATATCAGTCGGGAGTTGACAGACTTACATATAGTAGAAATCGGCCACGTTGGCAGCTAGAACGCACGAAAACATTCTAGTAGTGTAGCAAATGGCAATATACATACATTTCCCATTGTGCCGTGCTGGTTTTATTGCTATCGTCTCTTCGGCTTCTTTTTGCGGTCGCGGTTCCGACCGGACCACGCGTCAACGCGCCGTGTGGCGAATCGGATTCGTGAGGTCGCGCTTTCTTTTCTGCGAATGGCCGAGCGCTTTCACGCTGCTGCCACCCCATTAGTTGGATTAGGTGGCGGTGGCGGTGGCTGCTGAGGCACGGCCGCAGGGGGCGGGGAAGGGGGGCAGAGGAATGGGCACCGAGAACGAACAGCTCCCAGCAGTCGCAGATGGATGTGAGGATGTAATACTAATATCGATGGTATATTACCATAGAAAGGACCATTACGATGATATTATGGACTATTCAGACATTTAGTATCGATTGGTATTGGTAAATGATTACCAATGAGAAACGTATTTGCATTTTATTGCTTATTCAAATAAAAACCAAGAGTTAAAAAAAATAAATCGCACATTATCGTTATTTACATTTGTCACAAACATGTCACATTTTAATAATTTAAATTTACATTTTACTGAATTTTCAGTACACAGTTATATAATACTCTCATACACACATTAGGATTTTACCGTTCTTTTACGAAAATTACTTTAACAAATCAAATGAAATGATTGAAAGGCATTTTATCTTTTCTACGTGACAAAACTACAAACATGTTATCGAATCAGAGAATATCGAAAACCAAACATATCGATTTTGTATGTACTGAAAGAGTCGCAAGGTCTCTAGCGGCGACTGGAACGCGCATTGTTAAGCCCGTGAAAAGTGCATGGAGCACGAGGAGCGGCAAGCCCCTGCGCGGAAGCCTGCCGTCCCTGAGCGGCTTTGGTTAACTAACTACGAGACGAGCAAACAGGGACGGGCAAAACTGGTCGGCATCTCGAAAGTGCGTGAGCCCCTTAAGGATGCTGTAATGAGTCAACGCAAGAGCAGGCGGCGGGTGGGCTCGCGCGGCACGGGGGCGGCGCCACAGCCGTTGGTGCCTCACGGGAGGTACTGACGGCAAGATGAGAAGGAGGGGTTTATTCATTGAGTGATTGATTATCGTTCACGGCCTCGTCAACTGCGATGGCCATTAGTCCCGTTTCCGTAGTGAATGACTTATCCCGGGACGAGGAGTGTTTTGCCAATGCCACTGGAGGGTGAAATCCTCCGACGACCTACATGTCGGCTTGCGGGGAATTTACCTCTTCAGGTGTCTCCCCCGCTGGGCTTATTCTAAGCTCCCAACATGCGTTGTTGGTTGTGTGTGTAAATGTGTGTGTGTGTGTGTGTGTGTGTGTGTGAGAGAGAGAGAGAGAGAGAGAGAGAGAGAGAGAGAAAGAAAGAAAGAAAGAGAGAGAGGGAAATAATAGGACAAGACAGGGGAAGGAAAGACCGTACGCGGATTCTCCGGCGACATTCGCCTGTTCTAATGGAGAATCCAGGGAAAACCACCTATAAGAGCAGCCGGCTACTGATATTCTTCTCCAGACAGTGGAAGAATTGCACCCAGCTACGAAGCTAGAGTCGAAAAGCCGCCACTGTCGGGACTGGAACCCTAGATCCCAATGTCCGAGTGGCTGCAGAGACAGCGGCAATGCTGGCTCCGAACTAAAGTCGGTGGAGGGGCGGAGGAGGAAGAGGGGAGGGGAGGGAAAGCGGAGGGTGCTCCTCCCACAGGCCACGTCCACACTTCGCGCGCGCTGCGGTGTCTCAAGATAAAGCACCGTGTAATAAAGGCGCCTCCGATACCCATCGCACAAGCCTTTCATGAATATTAACTATTTGCGAAGAGAAACCATGCGGCGACGTCGCCGCCGCCGCCTCCGCCACCTCCACCGCCGAGACCTCCGCGGCCGCCGCCGCTGATGCTCCTCAGCCATATTTCACCACTTTCCAAAAGTCGGCCCATTTAAAGCAATTCGCAATAAATTAACGTGCGGCCGCGCTCGCCAGCCGCGACGTTATTTACAGGGCCGCGGCCGCGCCGCCGACGCCAGGAATGCGTCGACGCTTGATGCACTTCGTTATACAGCGACGCGGCGCCAGCGCCCCTTTGGCCAGACGGCGGGACGGAGGGACGCGCCGAGTTCCAAAAACTATTCGGTTCTGGCGGTGGCCAGACATTGAGAGATCCAGCTTTGCGGAACGAAGGGTAAATTGATTGATTCACTGGTGTTTAAGTGTAGCGTCGGAGGCTTAATTGTTTTGGTCGCTTGAGCTCGGGGATGGGATGGGAAAGGAAGAGAATGGGAAGGTAAGATCGCGCGCCCCGCTAGCCCAGTTATATAAGGCTGCTCTGGCTTTTGCTTGGAAGTGATCGAGGAAACCACAGAGCAAAAAGACAACGAATTTGATTCCGCAATGGGCCATTTACTCCGTGTTGGAAAATGCAGCATGCTAATTTCTGATACCTCGCCGAAAACGAACTCTCGAGATCCCAATTACGAATAGCCCGACCGTTACAGAGGGGGTCTGCCCACGGGAGAGTTAGTTTCTGAGGACCGCGACAGTGCAGGTCTCTGGCATCAGATTTTAAGAGAGAAGGGTGCCGCCGGTACATCGCTCCAGGCTCATGAATCTCAAAGGAGGCCATGGAGCTGAAAGGGGCAGTGAAGCACAATGCAATTTTAAATTGAACATTTACTTAATTCACTTCATTTGTATCGTAACTTTCGTATCGTTTTTATATTATTCGTATATTATATACAAACACACATTCTACGAAAATAAATCCAATAAGTCAAGCCACACCTGAAGCACAGACGTATACTATGCCCTGAGATACCGATATCAGGGGAAAGCAGACTATGAACCGTTGTGTGATCGATTATAAGAAATGTAATGTAGGTACTCTGCGTTTACATGTTTCTAGATCTTTTTGCTTCCTACTTCGTAACGAGGCCCGGATTTAGTCAGTGGCTCCACCCTCGCCCACGTGCCTACTCACCAGTGACGGGGTTGACCTGGAAGCTGCTGTTGGCCGGGATGAGGTGGAAGCGCAGCGCGGCGTTGGCGTCGAGGTCGGCGTCGGAGGCCGTGAGGCGGCCCACCAGCGCGCCCCGGGGCAGGTTCTCCTCCACGGCGAAGTCGTACTCGTCGCGCGAGAAGCGCGGGTCGTTGTCATTGGCGTCCAGTACGGTGACGGTGACGCGCGCCGTGGCCGTGCCGGCGGGCGTGCCGTTGTCCGTCGCCGCCACCGTCAGCACGAAGCGGTCGCGCGCCTCGCGGTCCAGCGCCTGCCGCAGGTACACCCAACCGCTGTTGGGGAAGACGCCGAACACCGCGTCGTCGCTGTCGCCGTCGCCGTCGCCCTCGCCGTCGCCCTCGCCCGACTTGAGCAGGCGGTAGGTGAGGCGGGCGTTGTTTCCCGTGTCCAGGTCCACCGCCGTCACCTGTAGCACCTGCAAGCGACAGACAGCGGCGCGTCAGCCTCGGGAAAGCGAACGTCAACGCCTCCGGGAAGGAGAAACAACCGCCGATATTGAGTGATTATGGTGGTGCGTCAGACGTCTGCGCAACACAAAACAAGAGGAGCAGCAAAATACATTTCTGGGCCTTGTTTTCCTTTAAATATTTCTGACTTACACAAGATATACTTCACTAGTAAGTAAATAAAACTTGCAACGAGATATTAAATATCTTTGAAGATATAATTAATAAATGAAATTGATTTTACGTTGAACTATATACAGGGATGTCAGATGGCTTGGAGAACCTCTTCCGGAATTGTCTTCAAATTCTCCGGTTAAAAAGGGGAGAAGATCAAGAATTGAACATATTTTCGGAAAGAAAATATTTTATCTAAAGATGCGGGGCCGAGTTCAACATTTTTGGGAAGGCCTCGGATCAATGTTCTTCACACTTCACACTACGTTACATTATTATCAAAAATGGGGGTCCTTCTGATCGAAAATCCCACAAGTCTTTTATCACGTATTTCACATTTACTATCGCATTTCTTAGAAAATCTGTGTTTGGCCACTCAATAATTCAAAATTTTCCATAAATACTTTTTTGTCTTTTCTACTTCAACTCAAAGAAATCAAAGACAAACTGAATTGTGTTTGCTGGGTTTCGATGAGTTCATTGGCACAACACATTCAACAATACTCATGAGCATCACTAAACGGAAAGAAAAAGAAAATTTAGTCTAGAAGTAATGTAAACCGGCCTATCTTAGATTTCATCAAAAGATGAATGAAAACTAAACGAATAACACAATAGGGATACGGGCACAGATCTCGAGAAACTATACGATTGGCAGTGTCAGTGAAAGATAATCATTGACAACGCTAACTCATTTTTGAGACCAAGCTAATTTAATGTTTGGTGACCGCCTGCAAATGCTTGCAGAACCCAAATCGAATCCAATGTTATCCTGCCAGAAAAATGGAAATAATGGTACTGAATCTGAAGACGGTTGCTAGAGAACACCTAGCCTGCTCAACTGGAAGGGGCCCTTCAACTATCCTCATCAACGCGCCTTCATTGTGATCCATGACGAAGAGTATTCAGAGTGGGGGGAAGAGGGTCGCACCTGCGAGTTGACGGGCAGCGACTCGAGCACGTTTACGGAGTACTCGGGCCGCTCGAAGACGGGCGGGTTGTCGTTGACGTCCTGCACCTCCACCAGCACGCTCAGGTTGGCCGAGAGCGGCGGGTCGCCGGCGTCCGTCGCCACCACCACCAGGCTGTGGCGCTGCGCCGTCTCGTAGTCCAAGTGGCGCGCCAGCGTCAGGTGGCCCAGGCGGGAGTCGATGGCGAAGAGGCCTGAGGGCCCGCCTCCGCCGCCCCCGCCGCCGTCCGCGCCGCCGCCGCCGCCCCCGCCGGTCACGCCCGCCAGCCGGTAGTGCACGACGCCGTTCAGCTCCGAGTCGCGGTCGCGCGCGTGCGCCGCGTACAGCGGGATGCCCAGCTCCACGTTCTCCGGCACCGAGATGCGCACCGTCCCGGAGTCGAACTCGGGCGCGTTGTCGTTCACGTCCTCGATGCCGATGTTCACCTGCGGACGAACGGACGAACACTCGGTTATTCTCTGCTTTGCACCACAAGGAGTCACAAATAAACACTCAAAAGTTATTATCATTTGCAGTATGTTCATGTCTCTTTTACTATGAATGTTTTTGAGACTAATTAATACAGACATACGTATATTTTTTTAAAATTCCAGATAGTACATAAATTAATAACAAAAAATCTAATAGTACTACATTAATTAAATGTTAAGTGTCTGTATTAATTGGTCTCCAAAACATTCATAAACAACTATTGGTTGCACTAATAATATTAAAAAAATTCGTAGATGTGTTGCATTCAACAGTGCGTAGTATCAAATATTTCATATGAAGATTGTTTAGGATGGTCTCACCCAACTATGTAGCGATCTGCTATATTTTATTTAGTATCCCAAATTTTCAGTAGAAACGTTCATTCCCTCTTCTCTTCGTGACATAATTCTACACACTAAAATTATCATTATACCGATTTTGTATATTTTGAACAAGTAAGACGCTCGATATTATGTTGTCAGTGGCCTGCCAACCACTAGCAGAAACGAGAAAGATAAATATCTCAATTGTGCTTGAAGAGTGGCTGACCATTGTGTATTGTCATGCACCTCAATTACTGGCATCAGGTCCGTACCTAATTGCAGTTAAAATAAATCTAATATCATGACTGAATTATTTTATCTAATATAAAGGTCTGAATTTGTGTATTTCATTTTATCGTAAAGGTAATCTCATTTCCAGTACTCTTTATTTGTGAGTGAGTAGCTTTTAACGAAAGTGACTTCCTCAACGGGGAACGCGTATTTGTGTGCGATATAATGAGCGGGAATTTTCGCGAGCAAACACAGGAACGTTCGTGCAACGGACACGTAATATTTATTGCATAATACGAAACGAGGCTTCTAGGTTACACGAGCTCCGCAGAAATCGTTAGGGGAACTAACCGGCAACATTGAACCCCGAGCGGAGTATCACATGTCGTGTGCGCACTTCCAAGCAATGAACGCAGCTGCCTGAGTCTACATGGAAGGGTCACGTCACAGCACGGCGTTTACGCGCCGGGCTAATACGCTGAACATAACAGATGGCGGCTGCGGAGGCAAGAGCCAACGCGGGCCCGATCCTCGCCGCTCGTGCGTAGACGGAGTAGGAGAAGCCGGGCACGGGAGAGGAGGGGGAGGCGGGAGCGGAGCCAGTGACGACGGCGGAGCGGAGCGGGTGCAGAACTGGGTGCGGAGCGGTGAAGCTGGGAACGGGAGAG